TTTTAATATAGTGAAGATAGAGGTTATCAAATAATGAAAGAGAGATCACAACCACAAGCATAAAGTTAGGAAGGTATTCACAAATTTTAGAAAAGAAAAATACATTATATACTTGAGAGATAGGTAAGATAAAGTTTAGAGAAAAAAAACCTTCCACTATCTAAAGGCTAAAAATATTTCTTTCAAAAAAGAGAGTTTTTTTATGTGAAAAAATAGGAGATCTCTCAATTTTCTCATGCAACAATTCTATGAAAGGAAGGGATTGTCCCTAAAAATAGAAAGAGTATATATTTTAGGAAATGAGAGGAGAATATCTGTATAAACAGGAACATTAGGAGTAGATTAGCGTACAAGAGTGGCAATAGGTCAAGTCCGGCTAGACCACTTGAACAGAAACATTAAGAGTAGATAGCGTTCAGGGGTGGCAACGGGTCGGGTCCGGCTAGACCACTTGAACTTGAATAATATTTTGGTCTAGGTTTTGGACCCGGACCCAACCCGTCAGGTTCAAAAATTGGACCCATACCTGTACTCATCGGATCTCGGGTCTGATTGGGTCCATTGCCACCCTATGACTATGAGCTTCATTTTTTTTCTTTTTTTTTTTTACCATTTTTTTACATCATGTAACCATATTATTGACAACAAATTCACGATCACCCGCCATTAGATTTCAAACCGTCTGATTTGTTGTTTAATAGCTAACGCTGACTACGATTTTTATTGTATATGATCTTTAATACACCCAAACAAATAGGGCCTAAAGTAAAATAGTTTATCTCCAATAGTTTACGAGTCGGATGCAGCTGGACTTGGACCCATACCCAAATGGTGTTTGGGACCCAGACCCCACGGGTCTGATCGGGTTCATTGCCATCCCTATTAGCATGTGGTTCTAACACCTTTCCATAGATCTTTTCTATCTTCCGTACCTATCCTATAATTAGTATTAAATACTCCATTAAAGTAAAACATTATAGCTTTATAATTTATAATTGTAAAGTATATTATAATAGTATTGGACATATAAATAATTATAATGTATGTAATATTTATTAAGCTATAATTTATAATTGTAAATAATTATAATGTATGTAATATTTATTTTCAAGCCTAAGGCTTGGTCCGGCATTAGTTTTTCAGTGCTCGATCGACTGGCTGCTGCCAACTTCAACTTTTCCCAAATCAACATTTCATTAACCCAAAAGAAAAGGGAAAGAGTGAGAAAGTTATGCATATATCCTTTAAATCACAATTATTTAGAAAATGATATTACGATCATATTTGTTTTTTGGATTTTTTAAACTCCCCTATTTTGGACCTGAAAGGTTTGAAATTAACTCCAGACTTTCACTGCCTAAAGTTTTTTTTTTTTTTTTTTTTTCAACATGAGCCTATTTCAAACCTTGAAAGTTTAAACTTTAGACCTTCAAGGTCCAGAGTTACCAATGTCATTCTTTTTCAACATGAGACTTTCACAATTAGGGAAGTTGAAGGTTTCGCATTAAAAAAAACAAAACAAAAAAACAAAAAAAATAGTTAACTTCATACCTTCAAGGCATAAATAGGTACAGTTTGAGTGGGATATTGAAACTGTCATGTTGAAAAAATAAATAACTTTAGATTTTGAAGATCCGAAATTGGACCTTAAAGGTCTAAAATTGAGGCAATTGGGAAAATTACCCAAAAAAAGGGGAAAAATAAAAATAAAACCTAGAAAATAGATATGAACATAATGGTGAAATTTGAGAAAAGATTTTTTAATTTGTTTTCTTTGCAATTGGCATATTGAAAAGCCCACTTCAGATTGCATCAAATGGTACAGTTGCAAAACAAAATTATGAAGACCTAAAACGGCCAACAGTTCCGGCATTTAGACATACAAAAAGTTGTCACCAATGATTCTACTTGCCAACAAAACCTATGTAGCCTTGAATTTCCTTTTCCTTTTGTTGGTGCTCAATTCTTAGGAACGCACCACATCGTCATATAAAAGGATGGATCGTCCTTGGTTTGCGAAATGAATAACGGCCGGTGCCTCATTATGAAATAAGTGTATTAGAAAATTATTTCGGTTTTATGTTAGGGAAATCAACAACCAAGACTATTTTTCTACCTAGGCAGCTGATTGAATAGTTTAAGGCTAAGCAAAGAGATATCCGCAGTCTTTACACAATATATAGACTTGGTGAGAGATATGTACGAGAGACTGTTAACTAATGCACGAACTAGTGGAGAGATGAGTAAGTTTTCAATGACAATAGGTCTACATCAAAGGATACATTGAGCCCATTCTAGACACCTACAAGATGAGGTATCATGGTGCATATTGTTTTTAGATGACATAGTTTTGATCGATAAAACTCAAAACAGCATCAACACAGTTAAAACTTTAGATGGATGCTCTAGTATCTATAGGTTTTAAAATTAGCCGGATTAAGACATAGTATATAGAATGCAAGTTTAGTAATAATAGGAGTCGAGATAAAAAAATAGTTACGATTAATGGCCAGGAAATGAACTTTCCATATCTTAGATCAATAATCCAACAAATTTGAGACATTGATGAATATGTCGCATATAGAATTTGAGTTGGGTGGACGAAATAGAAATATACAATGGAGTTTTATGTGATCGCCGCATGCCAATAAAGTTAAAAGGCAAGCTCTAAAGGATCGTTGTGGATCCAATTTTACTTTATGGGGAGGAGTATTGGTCAGTCAAGAAACAACATACCCATAGAATGAGTGTAGTTGAAATTAAAATGTTGAGATGGATGAGTGAAAAGACAAGGGATAGAATTTGAAATTAGTACATTCAAGAAGATTTAAGTGTGATACTAATATGAAATAAAATGAGAGAGAGTAGACTTAACGGACTGACAATGTTTAACACAAATTCAATACAGCTCCTAATAAAATGTACGAGTTAATTCAAGTGAAAAGAAAGTTTGTTTAAAAATACATAATTGGAAGTAATGAAAAAAAATATATAGATTTATAGCCTGACTAAAAGTATAACTCATGATAGAGAAAAATGTACAGAATGCCTCATTATAAAAAATGGTTCACTTTAATTGAGTGAGTAGACCCACAATCTTTAAAAAGGGTAAATACTGGATTCATGCGGCCGTTTGGAGATCCGTTTTCAACCTTTGCGTACATGGATGCCAAAGATATTGCTGAAATATTGGGAAAGTGGGGGGTTTTACCTTCTTTTTCGATTATTATTTTTGATGATTTATTGTTTCGCTAAGTTTTGCAACAATCCTTTAATAAAATTGCGTGATCATTGTGACAAAAAAAATGATGTATTTTCACTTAAGAGAGTATTGGCATAAGCTGGTTAAAGTGAGAATGCACATGATTTATGGGCACACCGTTATCTATCCCATTCTATAAACATTAAAATGAAGACGGCTCTTTAACATAAGCACCACAATCGGGTGACAAACATGAGAGCAACCAATTCAATCCTCAGGCTTGAGGAGCACCCAATTTTTACAAGACACGCCTAAGAATATCTGGATCCATTTTCTTAAAAATTGTATCAAACGCTGTTTGTCGGACAAATCAGTTTATGGACAGAACATAACTTTCCTTGGGTATTACAATTTACAACATAATCCTTCAAACTAGCAGGCACTTTGCTCAAAATATGACAATACAAATTGATGATAAGGTTCCCAAGTTCCAATTGATCATATGCAACACTGCATGGTCTGAATTTTTCCCCATAATCAACATCTCAAGCCAACACAGCATTCCCATAGAGCAACACACCGACATTAAAGGTCCAAAAAACATTAAACTTTGAATGTCTCATTCATTTACTACAAAAACCAAAGTGATGAACCAAATCATCACTTGCTAGAACACTCCAAGGTACATTATATATGCAACCACACAAGCACCCATGATTTTCTGTAAAACCACCACTGGGGCTGATTGACATCCGCAGCCAATCCTTGTACTCTATTCAAACCTTGATCTCACAATTTCCAGATAGGGATCACTTACAAAGTTTCATCATCCAAGAAAGAATGGCCATTGAAGAAGCAATTGCTCATAAACAAGAAAAACAATTCACTAGGTCTTAAAACACGATGTAAGAGAGCACATTCAGGGAAATTAGTTCTGACCACTCCTGCACTGCATGATGCCTTCTCTTTCTTTTTTTAAGCTCTAAATATTGTGTCAACCCCGATAAACAAGGGGCAATAAAGAAACAGATGAGAGAAGAGAAACACAAGGCATAAAGGAATAAGAATTGTTCCCCCTAAAATGTTCACCTCCACCAACAGAGTGCCAAATGAGCATTTCTCCAAAGACGGATCAAAACCATAAATATCTAATATAAAGAAGAAAAAAAGGAAAATCCAGAGTACCAAGAGGCCACATTACCTTCACCACAATTTGCCAGCTAAATACACAAGATGGTTGTGTAACATAAGAAGGCTCCTTCTCTGCAAAGTATGGTATAGATCATCTTCCAATCGAACCTCACCATGGACCCCATCTGCCTCAATTGCCATCTTGAAGCCCAACGCTTTCAAAGTTTCACAGTTCCATGTCTCAAGAGAAAGGGTAGAAAGAAGAGAAACCCAACCAAATAAAACTGGTCCAGCACTCCCTCCAGCCTTGTACCATATAATTTGAAACAACATTAATAACAAAGCCTAGACCCATATAGAAAGGATGGGTAACTATAGCAATCCTCTCTCTAAAGCACTAGTTTTGCTGGCAAGTTCACAAACATTCAAGTGTGAAGCAAGCAAGCCAAGTCATACAGCCATAAAAAAGAGATTTTTCTCAGTTAATTTGCATCGCCTCAGAATGGTATTTCTCCAAGTCAGCATCAAGGTCTGCGGCTGAGACCTTTTCGCCACGACCGCCTCCTCTTCCCCCTCGTCCACGGCCCCTGCCCCCACCTCGACCCCCGCCTCGTGGACCCCGACCAATGATTCCAGCTCCACGTGGTTGCACACTGTTCCATTGTTTATAAAATAAACATTATTGAGAATGCGCAGAGTGTCGGCCACATTCGTTTAGTAATAGGACCGTAAAAGAAAGAAGGCATGCATTAGCAAAACAAGTGAAGCATGTGTCAAAGCTGACATCAAATTCGTCAAAGGAATATGAGCTGATAAGTATCACACGTTCGAGGCCTATACACTTCACCATAATGGAATTGTATCACTCGCAATAGCCTTTTGAAGTACATTAAAGAAATAGTCTCATGTTTGTGTATCAAATCTTCGATTAATTGTAAGACTATCGAAAGCTTGGTTTGGTTCAACACAACTGGGAATCACCTTCCTAATTGCTCAGTTGTGTAGGCAATAAAGCCGTGGTGGAAGACATGATGTATTGGAAAATCAGGTTATTGCAGTACCAATAGTAGTGCTATTTAACAAAATGTTCATAATTTCTATGGGGATAAATACAAAAAATTTGCACATTCAAAGTCTTTCCCACCAAATTTCTGAAATATTTACATATTCATAGAAATCAAACAACTGAGAAATCTCCTGAATATTTCAAGAGATCAATATCTTGAAAGTGTCTTGCAAAATATTCAGTAATATCATTGCTTGATTAAGCCACAAACATCACAAAAAAATAACTCAAAAAATAAAAGAACACTACAAATATTCAATGGCATGATCCTATACTGATGTGTGCTTTAGAGTTTTGTTCCACAATCTATGTTGCAGGATCAGATCCCCATTCCAAATTTGAGAAAGGCAACTGGTGCCTCTTCATAGATTGCACAAACTTGTCCTCGCCTACCTAACTGCTCAGAGGTCAGAGTTCACTATGAATTAGTTCCATCCATACTCCTAGTTGCTGAACACCTAATCTTAACTCATACTATTGTATTATCATTCCATCGAAGACGAAGTGTCAACCAAGCAAGGGGATACTGAATCTCCCTTTCAGGCATCAGAACTTACCATACACAAACAACTCTATGTTAACACAAAAAACAATACTTTCCCCGTATACCCAGGTGATTTTCTATCCCAAGGCCCCATACTTAAATATAATCCAATAAATCCAATATAATCACCTAAATATCTCATCTTTAGAAAGCTTAGGAGTTTCAGGTTTACGGCCAAACTCTACTTTCTGGAGGATACTGAAGTGATAATCCATGCTTCATTAAATCATTACAAAAACAAAGGTACAAACCAAGCTGGCCTACCTCAAAAACCACATTACTGGAGCAGCTAGAGTTATTACGCCATACCTCAAGTAATGGGCACCAAGGCATGCAATCGACGACTAGAACAAACAAAACATGCTCCATTTTGAACCAAATGCATTGAATAGGCATAAAACGCTTCTTTATTATGGATAAAAATCAACTCTTTTTCCATGGAGTAAGCAAGAGATGCATTACTTCCATCAGTATCCAGCACGTCCTCTACCAGGGAGAGGTTTAAAATAACCCCTATGACTAATCTGAGTAATAAGCTGCTTGAGAACCTTCCTCGATACTGAGTAGATGCTCCTCCACAAGCCCTCTCCTAGTAAAGCAATCAGAGCATGGCTGCTTGGAAGACCAGGTAACACCGACAAGAGTGAGAGGAAGTGGAGAGAGAATTTTGCATTAGTGATCAACTATCAAAAATAGGGATTGCCCAGAGACATCTCCATGAGAAAGCACAGGGAGACCATTAACAAGATTCTTGCAACTAATAACCAAATATCTACAATCTTCACCACTATTCCCCACGAGTTTCGCTTTCCAGTCTATAATTCTCTGCCCTTTCAGAATCGCTGCACGAATTCAAATGCCAAGGTTCCTCAATTATTGCTTTAAAAACAAATCTTGCTATCAGAGACTGCGACTTCTAGCATTGCAGATAATGGGAAACTCTTCAGGATTTTGTCCTGTCCCATTCTTTACCCTCCCTTCCTGAACCAAAGGGATCAACCCACCCTATCTGCTCTTTCCATCTTCCTAATCCCCTCCTAGTGGCCAAGATGGCCTTCCCTTTTGACCCCCACCTTCCCAAACACATACACACAAACAAAAAATCATTGCCTTCCCTTTTCTTTCAGTAGCATACATGTCCAACAAGGTGCAGAGAGATGTATACTCCATGTGGCCATTGTTGACAATCAAAACAACAAAAAGTATGAAGCACCGCCTCATCGCATCCACGTCAACTCTGTCAAGCTGCAAAGCATGGGGTAGAGTACCATCAATCTGCAAAACAAGGGGCAGAGTACCTGGCCACCTCACAATTGACCTGCAACATTAAGCTCCTCCTTGATATGCCACCTCCCAGAAAACATTAAGAGCATCTTAGCCCCAACATAATCACTGGTATCATCATTTGCAGAAAAGTTGACATCATCCTTCTCCATATGCATCTTGAGCACCACTAGAGCTGTTAGGAAAAATGTTTCATGTGACTAACATAAAAGGAGGAAATCACACTTTGGACTAACAAATTTTCCTGTAAGCCCTCCTACCTAAAAACTCCATCTGGCACTTCAAGCACTGATTCCCAAGCAGGTGATGCCTCACCAACCCCCAGAAGAGATAACCATACTTCAAGAATGACCTATCAAGAAACAGACATTGGATAATGCCCTCACTGAAAGAAAATTTGAGGGAAAAACTCCACCTACCAAGATTTGAATAAAGATGGATGGGATGAGAAACATGGATCTAAGAAAAGATAATCGGCACTGCAAATCAACAGGCTTTGTGGAAACCTCAATCCCTAGAAAATGGTTCAAGGGTTCAAGATGCCAGCAATGGAAGGGATCCGACAAACATAACACAAACCAATCTGCAAAGTCTCTCTACCCCCTTATCATCACTTCAAATTGTTGAGAGCCAAAACAGCTCATCCATTAGCCTAGACCCAAGGAAGAGGATGTGGTTCGCTACTCAGGCAGAGTGGGAATGGAACTGGCAATCACAAATAAAGATTATAAACTCCACTTGGATTGCAGCCCTTAAAGTCATAAAGGTCCAAGACCAGATACTTTCCACCTGGATGGAGGATGAAACCCCTGATCGAACTGAAGTTGAGCTCCCCCATCCAAATCCTAGTTAAGTGATATGATGCACCACCCACCGCACCATACAGACGAAAGTGTAGCACGATTTATCACTCGAATTACAAGGCATTGAGCTAGACAGAGAAATGATTCTGGTCAGAAATGCTGGCAATTAAAAAAACAAAAAAACACAATTAAAGAGTCGCATAATTTATCATTAAAATTACAATGCAGTAATCCAGATAGAAAAACTGTTGAAGTTAGAAGTGCCGACAAAAGAAAACAAGCCAATAAATGGTCATAACAATTGACTTCAACTACAAATGGATCTGGCATAGCACCAGATCGGTGACCTTCCCTATAGCAAGAGTCTTGAAAATCAGGTTTCTCAGGGTCAAAGCACAGCTCATAACTCATGGAGCTTACATTGAAGAAAGCAGCTCAACCATGGATTTAATCATTTCCAAAAGAAAGGTCATAGCAATTAAACTAGATTATCGTCATAGAAATCAAAGGGTGAAATTTCAATTGTATAATGAGGAAAAACGAACTTTTATAACACTCGATAGGCAACTTCACTGTATCATCACTATAGACAGCCCTTTAAACTCATGATTTTCAATGTCACGATCTATTATTGCTATGTACCAAATATCAAATGAAAGATCCCCAATAACAGATTAACAAAATCAATAAATAAAGCCATTAGACTAATTTTTTATGACATTTGACACAAAATGTGTCACGGATTATGGCTTCCCTGTAATAGATGGGCATTTCTTTTTCCTTCTGCCTATGTACTCCTTTCTGCCCCAAAATATTCAATAGTTCTTAAAGAACATTCAAATTATCCGCACCAGTAGAACCAATAGTACGATCCAAATTTTATCAAACATCAAATATAAGGAAAAAAAATAAGTTACCTTCTAGGAATTCCATTTGGAGTAGCCAGCAATCCATTTGCCACTTGTGGTATTGGAGCAGGTGTAACAAGGTTTGTACCAACTATTTCTATTTTCATTGGCTTCCCATCAAGCTGCACATTGTTGTATCGCTTCACAGCTGCTACAGCATCTGCTCGCCTTGAAAAGACAACTTCAGCCGTACCCTAAAATATAATTATTCCTTAACCTTTGGAAGCAGCAAAAAAATGCTTTCATGAACTAGACAAGGATATCTTTTTTGTGTACCTTTGACCTTCCACTCCTGTCATAGTGAATGGAATATCTTTTCAGATCACCAACCTCTGAAAATAGTTCCTGGACCAACAAAGATAAAAAAATGAAGAGATAACCCTGGCAAACTATAAGCATAACCATGTTTCTTTCTCAAATAGCAAACAAGAATCCGGGAAGCCCAAAGCAATTGAATGGCAGGCAAGCATCAATACAAACAACTTGTAATTAATTCTCTTCAATAGGTGCATGAGTTCAACACCTATAACCTACGAAGCAACCAGTAATAGCAAAGAGTAACCACCTCTAGACACCACAGGTAATGTACCTTAGCTGCCAAATGTTGGAAGCAGCACACTCTTGTCAATCATTTATTGGATGAGATGTACGCACATACCATTATGCTCTTTGCTATTTAGAAAGTACGTACCCAAACAAGAGATTCAATTACCCTATAGAGATGTCTGTACAGATGATATATTCTTAAAACCAGGAGAGAAAATTGTGTGGATCATTGTCAAATAAAACACAAATTAAAGTTTGCTACTAACATCCATTGAACAATGATAAATTTTTTATATAAGGAAGCTCTTATTCATATGATAGCAGACACACATACAGGTGGTGAACTTACACCTGGACTAGTCAGACAGGGCCAGGTTGCCCTGCTCATCGGCAGGCTTAAACAAAACAGAATAAAGTAACACAACAAGATACCATTAGGCTTTGCTGAGTGGTAGACACTCATGGTTTGCAAGTTAGAGGTTAAGGGTTTGACCATTGAAGTTTATCCCAGTAAGCAGACTAAGCTGAACTACCTCTTATACGTCCCTTAGACTTCACTTAGTGATAGAGATTCCAGTTTGGAGTGGGAACTTCAGGTTTCAAACCCTTAAGTTTGTCCCCCAAAAAATATTAAAAACTAAAACCCCAAAAAAATTTATCCCAAAAAAACCAATCAATCTGACCCACTCATTTTCATAATAATGCGAAAATGAAAGGTAAGTAAACACCCCCAAAAAAAAAGGTGCCAAAGATGGAGAAGGACCACAAAACCAACATACACAAATTACAAAACCAAAGGAGAAGACCAAACACAAAGACTCCACAGCTACCACAATGAGCTAGATAATCTGCCTTCGACAATATTGGGAATTAATCACACCATATATTAAGACATTAAGACATTAGGCTGTAACCAGGTTGTGTAACCCTATTTGGGTTTTAACAATGGCAAAACCAGTGGTCATATTAACTTCAGATGAGAAGGGTCCATCTACAATACGCCCTCCAAAACCAATATCACAAATTCACTTCAGTCAGTATGGGAGTTTCTCAAGGCAAGTGAAACAACTGGGAGGATTCAGGTGTTTAGAACGAATGTTAGGAGTGCTGTATGCCAATAGTTTAGAAAGATGGGGAACAAAAAAGTATGTGAACACTAGATTGCCTATTTGAATGGGGATTTGATGACATTAAACAAAATGAACGCTCCAATAAACAAAAGAGCCATGATACTCTGAACTACATTTTGAAACCTACTAGCGCTCCCTCAATCTTCACACCACCTTGGGTCAGGTAAAAAACGATCATGGTCCAAGGAAGAATCTTTGAGGGAAGAGGTGACAGCAAATGTTCAATATAATCTGAAGTATGATAGAGCAATGGGACCACATCAGCTGCTTATCCTCCCATGGTCCACCAGCGTCGTGAGCCCCACATCCAAAGCACAGCACACCAACAAAAAGGAAATCAAATATGGGATAAACTGGGGCACCCATAGTGATGAAAGATATGAATATAATCTTGAATGATGGCAAAAGATCTCTCTCTCAATCATACACAGCAAAGCCTCCATAAGATAGAAAACCAACTAAGTTCGCATATCAATCAACTCAGCAAAAAGAAGAAATCCACACTGTCGCCATGGTAGTTCTAAGAGGAGGGAGATAAAGGATTGGATAAGGATTGTTGGGAAGATAAATGAAGAACAATAGTATCACTGTATAAATTGCTTTTCACCACAATTACGAAAGGAAACTCATACTACATAAGATTAGCCAAGGTTATTTTGGAACAAAATCCTACATGGGCCAGTTTTCAGTAATAAAGTTCCATATCTAATATTCACCCAAAAATAAAATGTTCCATATCTAATAGTTCGCAAGGCAAATAACCATTTATTTTAAAGTTCAAATTGAAAATAAACATGGTAGCATACAAATGCAAGATGCTAATAGAACCCACTCAGAAGGGCAAATGAAAAAAAAAGTAAAGAACAATAAATTTATAGTGAAATAACACATCCTTCACAGCCAAAGAGAACATAAAGCCACAATTTCATCAATGATAATTAAAATTACAGTTGTGGGAATGGTAATATAAATATTAACATTCCAATTAATAATGATTATTATCAGCATATGACATAGTGATCATACCTTAATGTCCTCGTTCGAGACTCCATAGTCAAGATTAGAGATGTAGAGCTTGGTCCCCGTCTCTATGGCTGAAGGCCTAGCAGCCTGCACTCCATATGGACCCACAGGGTCCGCAAACAAATCATGCTGCCAAGTAGTCTCTGGTGCTGCCTGAAATGCCTGAAATATCAAGTAAATGACTAAATAAAGGAAGATCACAATTGAATAAGAAAACATAGAAAGCAACTTCACATGACTATATAATGAAGAAAAGGAAGCCAAAAAAGCAACCTACATCAAATATTTAAATAAAATAAGCATAGGGAGATTAAAATCTATTAAGAAAAAGAAAAACACGTGACCGAATAATAAATAAATAAATCAAATCCGAAAGATAATTTTTTCAGAGATCCAACTTTTAATTTTCCTTAATTCAGTAATTTCAAAAAAAATAAAAATTCCTTTAGTGAGCGTAGGCATAAGCAACTATGTATATACCATTAAAGAATAAAATAACTAACTAAAAGAGATGAGAAAAAAGGGCCCCTTTTCAAGAAATCCCAAATTCCCAACTTTAGATTCAAGAAAGAGCAGAGTGACACAACATAATAAGTAAAAAATAAAAGTACATAAGTAGAATAAAGGCAAAAAATATCATTTGCATAAACCGTAACCTTGATATGTGTACTTCATTAAAAAACCAACTAAATAACTAAAATAGAGAAAAAAGTTTTTTTTGCAGAAACCCTAACTTTAGCTCTCAAAAATAAAGTGAGACTAAACAAGCTAATAGGTGAATGTCATTACAGAACCAAATGAAGAAATAAAAGACAGGCAAAATACCATAGTAGAAACCTTAAAATCAATTCTCCCAGGGAGAGAGAAATATGCAACAAGCTAACAGGTTAATACTATCACAGAATCAAACAAAGGAATAAAATAGAGCCAAAATACAATTCACAAAAAACTGAATCCCTTTTCCCGTGGAGTAAGGCACTGCAAACTCATGAGAGAACACTATCACATGATCAAAATCACGTAAACAAAAATAAACTAATTCAAGCAATCAGAAAACCTAATTTTACCTTTCCCATAGAGTACGGAGCAGCTCTATTTGCAGTGCGATTCTGAATTCTTCGAACTGGACCAGAGGTTCCACCTCTGTTTCTTCCCCTCATAACTCCTCCACCTCCTCCACCACCTGATTTCTTGTTGTTCTTGATCAGATCGTCAAGGGACATATCCAACGCACTGGACATCTTTCCAAACCTAGATTCAAACACTACCTTCTTCAGAAATCCTATATATGGAATCAGGAACCTAATAAAACTCACAAAACACCACCTAAAACCCTAATAAAACTCACAAAACCCTAGATATGGAATCAAAAACTCTAATAAAACTCACAGGGGATGAAGCTCAAAACCTTGTGGTTTTGATGGAGCTCTCACACCCTTTCTTTTAAAACCCTAACAATGGAAATAAAGGACTGGTTTGGACGAAGGAGATAAGAAAAAGAGGACCCGAAAATTAGGGTTTCGGGGGCTTTGAAGGGCTACAAGGTAGAGATCACCTGAGTTGTGTGTATACGCTACTGTGTACACCCTGGAGTACATAGACTGGTCATCCACACATATTGATGAGGGCGGCCAATGATTGACGGCCCGTGTTATCCTACACCATCCATCCTATATTACCACTTATCAAATAAGTGCATGTTTGGGTACTTGGATAAGAAATATGGAATATGCATGTCCATTGTTTAGATTGTCCGGAAGATACAAATTCATGGACATTCAGTTGTAGTTTTTATATTATTACCATGTATATTTATTTTTATGGTTATTAACGTCTCACATTCATTCCAAACTTCAATATTTGTTTTTAACTAAGATGAAACTCTTTTTTTTTTTTATTCCTTTCCATTATATCCTCATATACAAATGGCTTACATTCTAAACATTCTATTGGCATCAATGTCTTGGTAAATTATCAAATTATATATTCTCCTATTTTGAAACTTACAATTAATATCTCTACTTCTTATATTATTAAAAAGTACTCTAGATTACCATTCAACCAAGAGTTCTAACTTTGTTATGTTGGTACGCTCTCCCCCTCTCCCTCTCTCTCTCTCTCTCTCAAGTCAATTGCTTCTTATTTTCTTGTGTCCAAACAATTAAAAAAACTTCAATCATTTAACCCTAGATTTGAGTTTGTCTATAGTAAATATAGGCTTATATGCTTCACACATAATAGGATATCTCTTTGCCACTTGGTAAAGTAATTTGGATAGGTGTCCTAGATGTTTAATAGTATTTATATAAGGGAAAGGTTCCCTACTGCATAGAAGATCTATGCTTCCCTGCCATTCAACTGTCCAATTTTGATCAAGACAGTCACTCACCGTTTGATCTTATGTCTCAACGTACTTTATTTTTAGTTTTTTTTTTATACAAATTGTATAAATATGAACTTTGGTATGTACCATATTCTCATTGGGTCACACCTATAAAAAATATTTAAAATAAATTTTCGATAAAATATAATGACCAAAATACCCTTTGAAATTTTTAGGGGTATTTTGGTCATTTTATTTTAATATAATTATTTTTTATATATTTTTTGCTAGTGCGAGTTTAATAGAGGATTGGAGACATAAAATTTGGTGTCAAAATAGTTTATAGAAAAAAAATGAAAAAACAAATAGTATAGAAACGTGACATTGTGATTGGGGCAATCTTAGCCCTACATTCAAAATTGACGGTTAGATGAGAGGAAGTATATAAGTTTTATGTTGTAGGGGAAGTATAGAAAGCTTCCCTTTTATATAAAGAAAAAAGTTTATAT